TGCTCTTCCAAAGGTCCTGAGTTCAATTCTTGACAAACTACATGGTGGCTCACAAACATCTATAATATGATATGGTGCCATCTTCTGGCATGCAGGTGTACATGCAGATAGAGCACTCATGCATAAAAATGTTTCTTCTAACTTAAGTAACAAGAAATTGGTATTGGGGTAAGAACACAAAATTGCTAATCTGGCCTGTTTTCTCCCTAAAAGTTAACTGCATAAGCAGCATCATGAAAGTAGCTGGAATTCTTGATATGTTTTGGTTGTGTTAAACATTTAAAAAGAAAATGTAAACCTGAATCCAAAGCCTTTTCTTCTATCTAAAATTCTAGTTACATTTTGGCAAGCTTCTAAATGCTTATTATTACCATCCACATTGCAGTCTGATTGTTGAAAGTCTTTGTTCTGGATATAGGTCAGAATGGCTGAATTGTAGGGGTGTGTGGCTTTCTTAGTGCTAAGATTGACCCCTTATTTTTCTTAGGTACTTTGGAAATCATATATTGATTTTGAGATTGAACAGGAAGAAACTGAGAGAACAAGAGACCTTTACCGACAGTTGCTTCAGCGAACACAGCATGTCAAGGTACCCTGTAGTTTTTCAATAATCTCTTTTTATTTGTACAGCAGTTTTGTTTGTTTGTTTGTTTGTTTTTTGGTTTTTCGAGACAGGGTTTCTCTGTGTAGCCCTGGCTGTCCTAAACTCAGTCTGTAGACCAGGCTGGCCTCAAACTCAGAAATCCGCCTGCCTCTGCCTCCCAAGTGCTGGGATTAAAGGCGTGCGCCATCACCACCCGGCTTGTACAGCAGTTTTGATGTTTGTAGACTATTTTAAATGACTTTCTTGTTCTTAGACTCTGTTGTTCTCAGAGAACTTAAGAATACTAAGCGTATACCTACCAGATCATTGTTTATGCTGCACATGAGTCTCTTGGGCATCACAGGTTTAAAGAAGTTAAATTTTTTTCCAGAATTTGAAAAATATGAATTTGAAAAATATGTCAGATACCTAAAAGCAGAAGACTGCTTCCATGCTGACACTGCAGCATATATTCTGTGTATCAATCTGTGCTACATTATCAGTGGTACATCATGAAGTGGAGAAACTACCTTTATGATCACTGTGTTTCTGTCTTCTGGGTGACATGGTTAATTTCGTTGTGTTGTTTTTTTTTTTAAAGGTATGGATCAGTTTTGCTCAGTTTGAGTTATCTTCTGGGAAAGAAGGAAGTGTGGCTAAATGTAGACAAATTTATGAAGAAGCTAACAAAACCATGAGAAACTGTGAGGAAAAAGAAGAGAGGCTTATGTTGCTGGAATCCTGGCGAAATTTTGAAGATGAATTTGGAACAGTATCGGACAAGGAGAGAGTAGACAAACTCATGCCAGAAAAGGTCAAGAAGAGAAGAAAGGTCCAGGCCGATGATGGGGTAAGGGCTCCGTACTGGGGTTTGCTCCTCCCATGTCAAAGAAGTAGAAACACATCTGACTTTGAAATCTGTACTTTGAAGTAGTATTTGAACATTCTTAAAAGCAGACATAGACAACCTGGATAAGGAGCTTCTTGTAGTCTGGCTTCTAGGAAAACAGCCAGGGTTGGAAAATGGGAGGGACAGGGACGGGGCAAAGACTTCTAAGTGAAGGTGAGTGTAGGACGGGGCTTCACCTTTTAGAGAGGAACCAGTCCTAAGGCTTTGTAGGGTAGAGCAAGTTTGGTGGGAATCATTGAAGACTTTTACCCATGACTAGGTTGCTGACATCTCGTACAGGTGGACTTGAGAGACTAGGTTGACGATATCTAGTGGATGTTTTTAAAAGCCTGGTGGGGAGGGGTAGAAAGTAGGAGATGAGGAGAGCCTCCAGTTTAGGATAGTATTTAGAAGTAATAGTAATAAAATATTACTATTTTAGTAATAGTTCCTCAATTGGAACTAAGAGCTAGGAGTCCAAATACTACACAACTATGTGGCCTTTGCTACTAAATAGTAAGTAAAAACTCAAATTTGTAAAAAAAAAATTGTGTTTTGCATGTATGGGTATATGTGTACTACATGCATACCTGGTGCCCTTGGAGATCAGAAAGTGATATTGGATCCCCTAGCACAGAAGCTACTGGGTCGTTGTGAGCCACCATGCAGGTGCCAGAAACCTAACCTGGGTCCTCTGGAAGAGCAACAAGTGTTCTGAACAGCTGAGCCACCTCTCTAGCCCCTAAAACACGATTTTTTCATTCTAAATGTACAACTGCAAGGTGGGTTGTAGTGCTGAATGTCTGATTGCCTGTGGAGCCGTTGTGCTTAGATGTTTAGCGCTCTTCCATTTGGTTCTTCATTCTCAGTGAGCTAGTGTAGTGCTGCAGTAACATCTGAGCAGTGGCTTAGTCCCTCATTTAGGCTCAGTCCTTTGTTCCTTCTACAGCAGAATCTGATGTTGCTTTCTATAGTAACCATAGTTGAATTCGGACTCCAGGTTTCCCAGACACATCCATTCTTCATTCTGCCTTCTGAATGAAGCATGTTGCAGCTATGTGTCTGCTCACCTTTTAATTAATGTATTTATTTCTGCAGTCTGATGCCGGATGGGAAGAATACTATGACTACATCTTTCCAGAGGATGCTGCCAACCAGCCTAACCTCAAGCTTCTGGCGATGGCCAAGCTTTGGAAGAAACAGCAACAAGAAAGAGAAGCTGCCGAACAGGACCCAGATAAGGACATTGATGAGAGTGAATCCTCATCTTTTTAAATGTTGTCATTGCTTTTTATAAATTCACAGTTTAGAACTTTGACTTCTGGATGTTTTTATATATTTACCCAATAAGGGGTTGACATCTTTGAATTGTTTTTTAAAATGCTTTTGGGTAGGCAGAGGCAGGCGGATTTCTGAGTTCAAGGCCAGCCTGGTCTACAGAGTGAGTTCCAGGACAGCCAGGGCTACACAGAGAAACCTTGTCTCAAAAAACCAAAAAAAAAAAAAACTCTTTAAATCCTTTGGGGTTAACTATGGGTGGGAAACTGCAAGTAAAGGAATTTGTTACTTGAGTCCAAGCATTTCTAGCATTTGCTCCTTTTGTCTTTAGTAGATGGAATTCATTTGCTTAGCATATACTTTCGGTGGAACTGCAGACTTAACTCAGTGTTCATGGTCCATTCTCCAGGAATAGGCACAGGTTTATCATGATGGTGTACATACATCTGAAACTTTTGCTTTCATTTGTCTCTTTAAAACTATAAAACTTGAGTTCAGTCCAGTTCTAGCACTTCCATGTGGTGGCTGTACATTTGAGTCGATCTTCAGTTTTCTCTAACAAGCAGTAGTATGTGGCACCTCATTTTGATGATTCCATTAGAAAAGGAATATGCTGATGTCAATCTTGTTCCAACGGCACACCTGTCCCTGGCTCCCTTTTTTTTTAGCATCATGTGTATACTTCTCAGAATTAAATGAACTTGGGCTAGTATAATCTCTAAATATCTGAATTGATTTGTAGTGATTGTATTTTTTGACCCCAAGTCTTTATTTACGAAGAACATTTTAGTTTGGCTTTTTCTCTCAAACTAGTAGAAAACAATGGCCTGCGTATGCGGATGCTGAGGCACAGTGTGCGCGTGTGTACTCAGATGTTGAGGCAGTATTCCAAGTTCAGTTTGGGTAATCTTGGGTTTATTATGTTAATGTCTTTGTTAAGTATGATTCACCATAGCACTACTGCCAGTCCCAAGCTCTGAATTCTGCAGTTACAGCTGCCTAGAGACTGCATCTCCCAGCATGCCTTAGAATCTGTGAACTCTAACAACTGATGTAAACAGCAGGAGTCCAGTGACTGTGCTCAGTGATGGCACGGGCAGCAGCACAGGAATTTGTTAGTACTCTGCTCACATTGTGAAACAGCACTGCCCTCTTGGAGGCACTGTTTTACTTATCCCGCAGTTCACAGCCAGTTTTTCTTTTGTTCACCATTCAATGCCTACAACTGTTCTTTCAAGACTGGTCTCTACCGATTAAACAACTGATTATTAAATGTAAGTATATCCATCTAAGGGAATAAAAGCTGTTTAATAATATTACTAAATTGGGTCTTGAAAAATCAGATAATTTTGTAAAAGTTACAAGAAAACAGTATTACTAGGTAAGTGATAGATCTTTTCAGCCACTAGACCAGCACTCGGCTCAAGCGTTAGCCTGAGTCTGCATTGAATACTAAGGATGCTAGTCAGGAAGAATCTGTCACTGAATGTCCTTTGAGTTAGTACAGATTCAGGATGGAGGTGAAAGCAGTTCAGAATGCTAGTTCCATAACTAAGCCATCTTCCTAGAGCGGTTCTCTGTATGTTGCTCATGCACGTGAAGACAAGAATTAGTGACTTTGCTCTTAAGAGTCCACTCATAACAAGCACGGGCAAGTGTGACAGAGTTAAGGAACTATTATTCCTCTGTGAGACAACAAAGAATTCATTCTCTCCAACCTTAATATCTCAAAATAAGACCTTTCTAAAGTAAAAGCTTTTAAATCAAGTGCTATGATACACATATGTTTGTAGTCCCAACTGCCACTTGAGAGCCAAATAGAGGATTACTGGGAGCTGAGTTCAAGGCCAGCTTAGGAATATATATAGCAAGATCTTACCTCAAAGGGAAAAAAATGAATGCCAACAAACATACATTTTAATGGTCATTTTATGTGGGCCTTTTTTGATTACTTCTTTACTGCCTGCTTATCTTTACATGATTTTTTGGACTTAGATTTTGTTTCCCCTTAAAGTCTCATATTCAAGATTTGAGCAGTGTTAACAGAGAAAATCTGGAACCAACAGTAGGAACCCTGTTACTTGGGAAGATTTCACACAGTAAGAAGGGAGCTCATGTATGTCAGACAGGGATGATTTCAGATGTGCATGTAAAAATGTTTTGTGTGTAAAAATGTCAAACAAGAGAAGCACCGTATTCCTAAACAATGATCCCTCCATAATTCTGATTAAAAGACAACTCCAGAAAGCATTCAATAGCAACAATGTGTTTTACTATACATCTCAGATTTATACATTTCATATATGCTTTTAAAGCTTCAATTATCAGATCAATACAAAATAAAATATATATATATTTATATATGTGCAGCAGTGGTTCTCAGGCACAGGATTTAGGAGGAGGATGGAGGGAGTCTTTCCTTGGCATGTACTGTCAACCATGATAGTGGAACGTGTCCTTCTGACTTAGCTGCCTTGATTGAATTTTACTATGGCAAACAGTTCGAACATGTATGCTATTGCTCATTGGAAGGATAAGATTTGAAGTAAGTTTATAGCCTGCATTTTTTGAAGTCTTTAAGACTTAAATGCTTACTTTCCTCCTAATAGAGCTCCAAGACCATCCTATGAAAATAATATGTCCACAAACTGTCTGGAACACCTGCCTAAGAACCACTGCCTATGGTTATTCAATGTCCTCAGGCCTCACAGGATGAGGTAATGGTATGATGGATTTCTTCTCAGTGTCCCTGGAAAGTGCTTTCCTCATATCTGTTAAGAAGCAAAGATTAATGTAAGCAACCAATACCAAACTTTTTAAAATCAAACTGAGTGTATAAGTTCCCATCAGGTTTTGTGACCTCCCTGCAATCCTAAGTGGTATGTATGTACTTACAAGACTCCCACAGTAATTATGCCAGCTGCTAACCAAATCCCACCTAGAAGCCAACTAATATATTCTTCCTTAGTAAAAGAACACGTCTATACCAAGAAATGATAATTTATAGAAATTAACCACTGGCTGGTTAGTCTATGTTAACTATTCCTAAATGTAATTCTTTTGAATTATTAAAATGAATATTTAGGCTTGTGGAGGGAAATAACTATTTTGACTTTCTCTTGGAGTTACTGCCACAGCAGGAAGCTTACCATAGGCATCCTCGTCAGGCTCCCCATTGCTGGCTGAGTAGTACTCGATGACTGTCCTGTAGACACTATAGCCCAACTGCTTGTACATGTTGACGGCAACTTGATTGGATACTCTTACAAAGAGATCAACAAAAAATCCACCTTTTCTTTAGAAAAAAAGAAAAGAAAAAAGAGGAAAAAAGGAAATGTTAAAACTATAAGAACTCTAGGGAATCTGGTATGCATCTTTAAAAATACTATGTATGGCACTACTGTGGATTACATGCCTGTAATCCTAGGACTTGAGACCGAAGGGGGAGAACTGTGGATTCAAGGTTAGCCTGGGCTACAAACATAATGGGCTCAAGGCCAGCCTTGGCTACAAAATGGCATAAAAAGAATCCTTGGTTTTTGACTATTTGGGGATGGTAGTAGACATCTTTTATAACCATTTTACTATTTAGAGTAACTATTTCATAATACAGAAAAAGGACCCAAGTATAGCTGCTGTAGGATACTGGGGATTACCATACTTTCTTTCGGTCAGTAATACCTCCCCCTTTCAAAGGTCTTCACATCCTGATTTTGTGTCTAGGCTATTAACTCCTTGTTTACTCCCTATTAAGATTTCATTTTTGGTTGTGAACTTTATTTATATAAGCATAATCAGTTTGAGGATTGCTTTGTGAGAGACCTCAGTCAGTACTGAGCCTATTCTCATCACTCTGTTTAGCCTTTCATTGTATGAATATACAATTTGCTCATGGTCCTCTGGAAACATTTCTAGTTCTATTGTAGAGAATGTTACTATGGATACTTTTGTTGAGCATCTCATGATACAGTATCTAATGAGGGATCCCATTGCTGTCATAGGTATATCTATGCACACTGTCAGCTTGATTAAATTCTAACCTCTTTATTCCAAGCCCACTCCTAGTGTATACAGTATCTTGATGTGACCTTAATATACATTTCTAATTTCTAATGAGAGGTCTGTGTCTACTGACTGTTTAGATGTCTCCTTCCGAACAGCTCTTAATGACCCTTCAGTTTTTCCCCCCAGTGGCTGCTATGTGTATGCTGGATATTCTGTTTGAATTTTCGGTAAGCATCCATCATGTTACTTTAGGCTGGTTATCTCTGGGTGAACAAAGCTACTCCACTTTTACTAAGCGGACAAATGAGCCTTCCCTGTATGGTTAGCACTGTTTACAACCTGCTTAAAAAGGCTCAGTTTTTTTTGTTTTTGTTGTTGTTTTTTTCGAGACAGGGTTTCTCTGTGTAGCCCTGGCTGTCCTGGAACTCACTCTGTAGACCAGGCTAGCCTCGAACTCAGAGATCCACCTGCCTCTGCCTACCAAGTGCTGGGATTAAAGGCGTGCGCCACCACCTCCCGGCTAAGGCTCAGTTTCTACACTGAGGACATGGGAGCCTTCCATATTATACTGTTGCTTTTCCATGTCCATGTTTTGAATGAATCTAGAGTTTGTATGTAGTAAAGCAGCAACCAGGGAAACATTTTGCCCATCTACTTGTCCCACCATCTTTACAGAAACCTCTACTTTCCCACCCTGCTATCCAATACAGCCTCAGGTACACCAAGACCCTTAGACACATTCGTCATTTCCAATCTTCTGCTCTCTAGCACCAATAGTCTGTGCTGCACACTGGACCTGAGAGGGCAGAGCTGCCCATTGTTGAAGAATATTTTGTCATTTTTGTTGCTGGTTCTTCTTCCCTTGCATTCTTATTAACAACACTGTCAAAAAACCCGAGTAGGATTTTGGGTGTGATTACATTTGCTCTAAGGTCAGTCACAAAGCTTACAGTATTTTCCATTTCCATCTGTTAGTCACTTTAATGTCTTCCAATAGTTTTATAAACATTAAGAGTACTCTCAGGAGGTTTTGCTTAGACTTATTTCTCAAGCATATAATGCTTTTGATGCCAATTTCAATACTTTTTTCTGATTTTATTGTTTAGTTCTAGGGACTTGTACATTCTTGTTTCTATCTCTGACAGCAGTTTGCTGCCTCCCAATCCTCTTCTCTTGTTTCTTACATGCTTTTGCTGTGTAAATTTCCAGAACATTATGAAACACTCTACAGTGCTTTGCTGCTTCCCTCACTTCTGTTCTCTAGACTGCTACAAAATACACTGCACCTAATGAATAACAGTTGTTATTTAGTCAAACTCCCTGGGGCTCCTGGTTATTTACCAACAGTTTTTCTGCAACTAGTGCCCTCTGGTGACAGTTCCTCGGATCTTCCTTCCTTACATCATCAAGGACGCCTCAGCCTAAAGGCTGTAAAACTGACCTTACTTATTTATTACCGTGGATACCCAGACTGGCCTCAGATCCACAACAATCCTCCTGAATGCTAGGTTTGCAGGTGTGAGCCGCCATACTTGGACTGGAAGTCTGACATAACTCTTATGTCAGGAATTGTTTAAGTAAAGATAGTGGGACAAGTGGATGGCAAAATGTTTCCCTGGTTAATGCTTTACTACATACCAAAAAAAAAAGTCCAGCTATTACTAAGGTAGAGTAGACTTACAAACTTTCTTTTTGCATCACCCTCAAGCTAAGAATGTCTTTTAAAACTGTATTCCTGCAATGAATTCTGGGTGGTTGCAAAGTATTTACTCTCTGCACTGGAAAAGCTTTGCTGACTTCTGTTCTGTACCCTAGTTGATTTCTACCAGAAGGTTCTTACAAAGAAGCATGTTCAGCTCTGGTTAACAAGTTGTCTAGTTTCCAGGGTATATAACATTGTTACATCTTGAATGGATTCAGTTTTTAAAATCTCTTTGTGAATGTGCATGTCTGTGTGGCATGCTGTGGTGCATGCGTAGAGGTCAAAGGACAACTGTGGGTCTTTGTCTTCCTGCCTTGTTTGTTCTCCACTATGAAAATCCAGCTATCTGGCTCATGGGCTTTTAGGGATTGTCTCTATCCTCCATCTTGCCTTAACAACTGAGCCAAGAAGTGTGTTACAAACAAGTCCAACTTTTTACATGAGTTCTGAGGATCTGAACTAGGGCCCTCATGTTTGCATCAAGCCATCTTCCTACCCAAGTCAGTATGCAGTGGCCCCTTACAATGGTAGTAAGTATCCAACTATAATGTATTATCATTGTGAGCAGTCAACTTCCTTTTTGGCTATCATTTGCAAAATATTATCTTTATTTTCAATCTTTATAACCTTACATAGCTCCTAATAAGCATCTATTTTTTTTTTATGGCACTGCTGGGGTTAGAACCCAAGGTCTTGTACTTGACTACTGACCTATAGCCTTAGCCCATGTCTGTCTTTTCACTGTAGCCATTATTCATTTATAGCTACTTAGTTTTCTCCTTATTTTTTACTCCTGTAACAAAATTATATTCTTGCTTTAGTATATATCTAAACAAGACATGAATATAATGTTTATCTGTGTACACACACAAAACAATGAAACCTCAGAAACTGGAGAGGAAGAGAGGTTAGTAACTACCTAAATAGACAGAATACTAGTTATAGCCAAGGTTATAGCTTGTTAGAACCCATTTCCTGTTTGCCTGTCTGTCACACAAACTTACCTTCCTTCTTATATTCAGTCCAGGGAGAACAAATGGGTTTGGGGGTGTGTGGGGTTTCTTTTTTTTTTATTTTGAGACAGGGTGTCTGTGTAGCCCTGGCTGTCCTGGAACTCTCTGTAGAACAGGCTGCCCTCAAACCAAAAATCTGCCTGCTTCTGCCTCCTGAGTGCTAAATTAAAGGCAGGTTTCAAAAAAGAACTTTAAAAACCTCCCAAGGACTTTTTGTTAAAACTACTTCCTTGCTGGTGGTGGTTCACACCTTTGATCTCAGCACTCAGGATGCAGTGGCAGCCAGATCTCTTGAGTTTGAGGCCAGCCTAGTCTAGAGAGAGATCCAGGACAGCCAAGGCTGTTAACACAGAAAAACCCTGTCTCTAAAAACCATTATAAAAAAAAGGAAACAGCGTTTGATTTTCGTTTTGTTTTTTGAATGGGTTGGTGTGTGTGAATTAACTCAGAGCATTTGTGACTAGTTACTTCTGTAAAAAACTGCCTTTATTAAAGTCCAATAATCCTGTGGAAACAAAGCCTCTAGGTCTGTAACTATCCCCTTCCAGGCCATTTTTTTTAGGCAGCAACTTGACAAATGCCATACAGAGGCATTTTGTGTCCCTTCTAGGAAATGCGGGAAGCCTTCTCTTACATAACTGTTGCTTTTTTCTTTTCTTTTCTAAAATCTTTCACCGTGAGTGAGGTGTAACAGGTCTCTTTAAAAGCCATATTATTGGCAGTTACTAAGTGCCTCAAGAGGAGCATGGGATGTTTAATTTTGTTTTAAAGACAAGATATCCTTTGTAGTCAAAGTTGACCTGACAGTCACTGTGTAGACCAGTCTGGCTTCAAACTCAAGAGATCTGTCTGCCTCTTTCCTCTGCAGGGATGGGATTAAAGGCATGCACTCCCATGCTTAGCCCTGGCCACAGGCTATTTTATATGATCAGGAAAAACATCAAAACTCTTTTGATGACAGACTCTTTTTATAAAATGGGCTTCTTACACTTGCTATGATTAACTAGTGCTTACATGCAAAACCAATGGAAATGGGTTACGTTCTATTTGTTTCAGGGTTTAAAAGGCTATTCAGTGCTCACAGTGTACTTATCCCTTGGTGGCACATTTTATTTCTGTTTTTCTATAGATGGCTATTAGCTGTTAGAGTAGAAACGAACTTCAAACTGAACTACTTTGGGCCTAGAAACATCTGCCATAGTGCTACCACCACCAAAGATCTTCCTTGAAAGGTTGATCTCCGAGTCCAGCTAGCTTGTTAGCTCAGCTGTGTATGGCTGGACGCAAACACTGCATGAATTTTCCTCAAGAGCAAAAGAGCAGCAATGGTACTACTATGAATTGGGCAGAATTGTAGGAACTACTGCAAGCTAAAAATGAAATTCCTGTAAATCTAAAGCCATGACAGTTCTTCACACTCATAAGAAAAAAAGCCCTTCAGATATTCAACAGAAAAAGGAAAAACAGAATTCATAAATCACGTGTAAACAGGTTCTCACCTTTCTGAAATTTCCTCTAGTAACTCCATAAGTTTAGCAGCCAAGCCAAGCCGGCGGAATTCAGGGGCGACAGACAGAGCTGTGACATGTCCATGCCACTCTTCCCTAGCTACTGAGCCTTCTGCTTTGCCCATAACTGCCAACAGAAAATCAAATCAGTAATTAAAACACTTAATTTGCACAAAAATTCATAGTCTGTCATTCGTCTCTTTTAAAATAAAAATGTACCAAAGTTTTAAAGTCCCATCATCAAGCCAATGATTACCACTTTGATTTAAAACTCCACTTGCAAATGGTTATTGCAAAAGATTATTAAATGATAAACTAAAACCCAACAACAAAGACTAGGATACTTTTTGTTCAAATAAGATACATTTGAAATAGATTTAGGTTTTTTTTTTTCAAATAGCTACATTTAAAATTACATTTACAATGTATGTATGATTGTAGCAATTCATAGCTCAAGATTTTGCTAGCAACTGGTTAAATGGATATGCCTTAATCACTACCTTATATACAAAGTAACCATACAGAAATCTAAAGGGAATGATCCACAAAGACTACATCATTTCTGTTATGTTCACTGCTGTCTCACTTGGCCTAGTGCAAGGCTGGACAGAGAAGAGATGTGGTAAACTGTTAGTAATTGATCTGAAAATAAAATTCCATCTTTCATGATTTACATCAAATTCTAGAGTAAAGCAGACTGAAACCTGTATTAAAATCTTTACTCACCCAAAAAAGTACTAGTGGTACTGTACTTACTATAACCCATTAGTTCTCCGCCAGGTGCCTCAGCAACGATGAAATACTCTGGCCAGTGCGCAAGGTACTGTAAATAAAAAGGAATCCCATACTAGAGCTGTTAAGGAATGAGAGACATAATAAAGAGCAGAAGCAAGTTTGATGGTACACGCCTTTAATCCCGGCACTTAGGAGGCGGAGGCAGAGGCAGGCACCAGTATGAGGCCAGTATGGTCTACATAGTGAGTCCTAGAACAGCCAGGGATATGTAGAGAAACAAAACAAAAACTACCATCAGGCTAGAGAGGTGGCATGGTGGATACAGTGCTGTCAGCTGATACCTATTCTCCACATAAATGCTGGATGGGCTTGGCTGCCTGCTTGTAATCCCTGCACTTGGGGGAAGCTGTGTAAAGTGGAGAGTGATTAGGAAAGACAGCTGAGTCAACCTCTAGCCTGTGCATCCACCCTTCACACCCACATGCAAAACCACTGTCACTTATCCCCCACTTAGTACACTAATTTCTCTAATACCATGAAATGGAGTATTTACATCAGCACTAATCTTTAATAAAATTGCCTGGACATCTCTCTAGGTGTAGAATGCATATGGTGCCATCTAGTAGTAAGCAGAATCTCGTACAGTCTGCCCCATAGTGATCAGATTGTACTTATGTGTGCCATTTATCATCTGAGATTACTTCCTGTTCATGGTTCATCTACCCTGCCACTGGAAATTCAGAGTCTCTCTCAAATTTATTCTATCAACTGCTTGGCACCAAAACATTTGTTATTTCCTAAATTACACTGGAAAATTCAATAGCTAGTTTCTACTTTGAGTACAACTATGCAACTATTAAATTTGTAAAGCAATCAATTATGTTCAGAGGAACTGCCTGCCTGGCCTGGCATGTGCCTGTAACACAGCATTCCATCAGAAACATCTGTAGTTCAAGCCAGACTAGGACACAAGGCAAGGCCCTCTTACTCGGAAAGAAAGAATAAATGAATGGTTACTCTTCAACAATGGGATGTCCATACTGCTAAGACTCACTACCATGTTTGTTTCACCTTATGTCAGCTTTCTGGTGCAATCACAGAAAAAGACACTATTAATAAACAACTAAAAAGTTCCCAGGAAACCCTCTCAGCACTGTTAGCTTTGAAGCTCCTCTGAAGGACAGCCACTTCTTCCAGAACTCGAGGTGGCAGGCCAGCTGGTCTTCCTGTTGTCCAGCAACCGACACTACCACCATGAGCTCCCCTCTATCCCCTCTCCTTACATAAACACTAGGGCTTATATAGTCAAGGTGTAGGGTAATTTGTAATCTACTATTTTCCCAAAGGGAAAATTTCTGTGATATGAAATTCTTCGAAATCCTACATATTCATGTAAGTGATTTGAGGGCCTTTTGGTTTTTCTTTTCCATTGTTTCTGATGTGGCCTCTTGATGCTTGTACTTGTTAGCCGTGTTCCTTTGCATGTGTTCCTCTGCCAGGAGACATCTCAGTCATTTCTAATTCTAGAAAATGTCTAGATCTTTTATGTCCTTGATGAAGACAGCTTAATTTATTATTTCCTTATTGGTGAATGTGAATAATATTCCAATTTTTTAATGTAAGTCTCCTCACTTTTATGATGTCACTTTTTTTGTAAAGGGACAATAAGATGTGGTATTGGGGACCAAGTCTGTCATACCTACCCAAACTCAGAACCACAGATGGTATGTATATTAATCAACATGGCTGTATCCTGGAAAGGAAGGAAGGAAGGAAGGAAGGAAGGAAGGAAGGAAGGAAGGAAG